TGCGAGGTGAGAGCCCCGGCATCCCCTCCCTTCCCCCGCCCCTCCGCGCCTTTCCCTGCGGGCCGTGACCGGGAGGAGCGCTTAGGGCTGTTTGTGGTCCTTTCTTTTCTGCCCCCACCCCGTTGCTGTCTGTCCTCTTTTTTTTTTTTTTCCCCGTGTCCCGGCTGCCCATCTTGGCTTCCCCCTGCCTTGTCCCCGCTCATTCATGCATAGGCATGTTATGGTTCCTGTCCGGGCTGTGCCCCCCACACAAACACAGGCACACCTTTCCTTCTTTTCCTCTCTCCCCTCCCCAGTTCTGTGCCTTGGCCGCTTTCAGCCTAAGAGACAATCCTGAGTACTCGGATACATGTGGCTTTTCTGACCGAACACCAGGTCTCGGAGTAGAATCCTTGTCTTTCTCTCCCTTTCTGTGCTGTAAAAAGAGGTGGTTAGGGTGGCATTCGTGCTTAGCGTGAGGTTGAGAGGGTGTTTTATGGATTTTTGCTCCTCTGCAAGGCTGTACAGAACCTCAGGTGCTGAGAGCAGCCCTTGCTTGAACATACAGCTGATGCCTAGAGAAACACGGTGTGAAGAATAAGCAGGGGCACATCTCATGAGCATTTAGGGTGTCCTTCTAACCTTCCTGCATTAACCCTGTGCTCAGCTGGCCCTGTACAGGCTTCATTTGACACAGCAGAGGAAGTGATGGATGGCAAGTTGTTGACATCCAAGTTTTTGACAGCACATGTGAGAGAAACCCCCCCTTCCTTTTCAGGGCAGCTTAAAATGCCATCATCAAATCACAAGGTTTTTATATGGAGGGCTACATGTCAGGCAAAACCTTTGTCCTTACAAAGCTGCAGGAAAAGTAAACTCTACTTAGAAAATAAACTTTCTTCTTCTAAAATGTGGATTTTCTGAAATGAGAGGTGGTACTGGCTGGCATTGCACCAGCAAGTGTCAGAATTCACTTGATTTTAAGCAGGGACTTGAAAATCAGGCTGTTGTATGTTCTGTGTGTCTTCAGTTTGATTTTGATCTGCACTCAAAAATCATTTGCTGTAATGATTTTTCTGGCTTCAGCTGTCTTGCACCAAAATAAATCCCTCTTGATCATTGCAGTGTTGTCTTTGGATGCAAGACAGGCTTGCAGAGATTATGGAATAGAGCATGTTTTCTTTTCAGCAGATTTGATGGGGAGAGTGTTCAAGGAACTAAGTCCCATCCTAACAAGAGGCCAGAATGGCCAAGAAAAAAATATCCATGCTAATTATGAGTTATGCATGAGCTGGCACTGCTCTGTTTAGAGTCCTCAGTGGTGTGTTTAGAGACATATAAATGCCTAGGAAAGGAACTGCTTCATGTGAAGAAAGTGAAGCTGTTTTATAAAAATTCTTACCAAAACAGACTGTTGAGATGCTCCTTTTGGACTAGTTGTTGGCAAGGAGCCTCCTGTCCGTGCTTCTAACTGTGGAGAGAAACGGTGGTCAAACAGGAGGTGAGAGTGACATCCTGATGACCTGGCTGTAGTTGCTCCTGTTTCCTCTCAGACCTGGTTTCTGAGGTGATGCTAGAAAGAAATTATCCACTCCAGTGATGTCCAAAAAGCCAGGTCAGCATGTCCTTATTTTAGGATGAAGAAGAATTTAACAGAATATTCTAACCGCTGATGTCTTGAGTCTTAAAACCTAAGCAAAACACACCAGAAAACCAAGGCTAATTCAACTTACTGTGAAATCACTTATTTAACATGCTGAAATACCTTCCCTCAAGCTGGAAGGACCAGCTCCTCACAAAACCCCCCACCCTCTGAGCATGTGTAGTGAGTAGAAAGGCTGCTGGTTTAAGTGGAAGCCAAGAGCTAGTTAACCAATTGTAGAATGATAGATTGGTTTGGCTTGGAAGGGACCTTAAAGGTCATCTAGATCCAACCCCCTGCATGGGCAGGGACACCTCCCACCGGACCAGGCTGCTCCAAGCCCCATCCAACCTGCCCTTCAACACTTCCAGGGATGGGGCAGCCACAGCTTCCCTGGGCGACCTGGGCCAGGATCTCACCACCCTCACAGCAAAGAATTTCCTCCTCATGTCCCACCTCAATCTCCCCTCTCCCAGTTTCAATCCATTCCCCCTTGTCCTCTCCCTCCCTGCCCTTGTCGCAAGACCCTCCCCAGCTTTCCTGGAGCCCCTTCAGGTACTGGAAGGTGCTCTAAGGTCTCCCTGGAGCCTTCTCTTCTCCAGGCTGAACACCCCAACTCTCCCAGCCTGTCCCCAGAGCAGAGCTGCTCCAGCTTTTGGATCATCTTTGTGGACTCCTCGGGACAAGCTCCAGGAGCTCCATGTCCTTCTTACACTGGGGGCTCCAGAGTTGGACTCAGCACTCCAGGTGGGGTCTCACCAGAGCAGAGCAGAGGGACAATACCCTCCCTGGCCCTGCTGCCCACGCTGCTCTTGCTGCAGCCCAGGACAGGGTTGGTTTCTGGGCTCCAGCGCACGGTGCCGGCTCGTGTTGAGCTTCTCGTCCACCATCACCTCCAGGTCCTTCTCCTCAGGGGCTGCTCTCAATCCATTCTCCACTCAACATGACTTTGTGCCCTGACTCAAGTGCAGGACTTTACAGTGGGAGAAACAGACCCGGTTTTGGGACAACAGTAGGACTGATTTTGTTGTTGATTTCTGATCCATTTTGAACCTGAATGCAGAGTTTGATAACAAGTTTTAGTCTAAGGTCAGAGCATTTGCAAGTGGAAAGAAAGTCCATGAGGCAGGTTTTCCCCACACATACCCATGAGGTAGCATTGGAATGAAGGCTTGGTGGAATGTTGTGTTGAATCATCCAGTTGGGGTAATGATGTGTGGCTGTAGCTTGAACTTTTAATTTCTGCTTTCAGGCTGAAAGATGAGGACCACTTTTGTCGTGGTAACACGATGGATCCTTTCAGCTGCTGTCGTTCTCCTTATGCTGCTACGCCTGAGCCTGTCAATCAAGTGTGGATAGGATGCCATGAGGATCTCTGATGACTGGAAAATGGCATACTCAGTGCTCAGTTTTATTTGAAGGTGGCTGGAGGAAAATTAGCACAGATTGATTTCATGAAATTCCATTTTGCTAGACAGATTTCAAAGAGAGGGATCTATCCTTTGGATATCAAAAGCTATGCTATTACCCTGGCTGAAAAAGCTGCCACTCAGCAAGTGCAGGATATTGAATGGCAGCTTGTACTTCATTTGCTATCAGCTGTAAAGTAAAAATGCAGAGCGTTTAAGGTAATGAGATTTTGTTAATTGCAGCCATCAGAGAGACTGTAACAGGAGTTATGAAGTGAATAAAAAGTCAGATACTTCAGACTATCTGTATTTTAGGTTCTTCTCTTTGGAAAGAGTTATTTTCTTTAGGTTCTTTTCTCTTTGAAGGGAATCTCCTGGATTCTTTTCACATTCTAGCATGAGTCTCTGTGAAGTAGCTTTGTTCCCCCTAGTTTTGCAGCTCTCTTCAACAAACATTCCAGATGCTGGAGGGAGAGGAGGGGGTGACCATTCAGCTCCATTAAGGAGAAAGCTGTCAAGGCTTTTCATGGATTAAGAGCAAAATCCACTTCCAGAGCCAGGCATTTGCATTTGTTAATTTTTCCTTGACACCTCTTTGGGTTCCTACACTCTTTGAGGAAGCCCTTTGACTACAGGATCAGTATGAGAGAATTGTTAGTTGCAGATTTGTTGGGTACTATAAAGAGCACAAAAATTCTGTCCAGAAGTTCACAAAGAGCAAATTTCTAGAAGACTGAATATTATTTGGGCTAGAAATGATACATTTTTGGTACTTGCAGTAGATGTCAAATCCAGCATTGCTTACTGTGCTACT